TTATAAGACTGAGCTGAATACAGCACCTCAGACTGAGGAAGTCTTCGGATGAAAGACGAAACGTTTCTACAATTTTTTTTGTTTTGTTTTGTTTTGTTTTTAATGTCCAGAGGACCAGATTTAACTTTTTTTTACATGTAATATGTATTATTAAAGCAGATGTAAAGTTATTTTCCATAATATGTATTTTCTAATCTCAAAGATATTTGCATGAAGATTCATTTTAAGAAGAATTTGTCCTAACTAAAGACCTAGTAAACCATGAAGGAATGCATATTACCTACTGTCTTTCATGACAAAAAAATATTCTATGTTGAGAAGAGCCAGAGTCATTTTGGTCAAACCTTGTAAATTACATTATGAACAATCTTATATTATGTTACTGTTACTATCACACTAACATTAGCCAAGGCCCTGTTGCTTTGGCACTGCCTATAGGAAAAACTGGTGTAACAGACCATCGTATACCCCCAGTCTGGACTATACCTGTATTTAAAAGTGTCTTGTTATACCCCGGCCCATAATCCAATTTGTATTCTGTGGTATAAATTGGTCTAAGCTTATTCATACCCCTTGAGACAAAATATACCCCCATGATATAAATAGTGTTGAGTCATATGTACAAGAATTACTTATTTTTTAAAACATTTTTTGGGGGGTTCAGCTTTGTCAGATAAATTGAGAAAGCTAACTGACTGAAATCTGAAAACTCAGGAAATTTGGTATGAGGGCCAGATCAATCAACCTTTATTTATACAGGTAAATCCCATTGAGCCTCGAGGACTCATTTACAAGAGAGACCTGATTTCAACAAAGAAAGATGACAACAATGGACAACAGCAACAACAATAAGCAGTTATAAAAACTCATACTACAGTTTTTTTTTTTTTTTTTTTTTGTTTTTTTAACAAATAGGATGGCTAAAAGGAAAAAGGTAACAAAACCAAAAAAACTACTAGATTCCGAGACAAATGTATAAAACTAAAAACAGGAACATGTCTGCATTGGTCCCTGCCAGGAGTCCAACAGATTCTTAAAGACACTTAGAGAGGTCAAGGTCGAGAGCTTCAAATCTTTTTGTAAGATATTCCAGGAAACAGGAGCGGAATAGGAGAAGGCCCTTTTGCCTAGTTCAGTCCTCACTGAGGGAACACTGCAGGTAATAATGTCCTGAGAGCGCACTCCGTAGCTGCACTCACGCAGAGACATGTAGGAGGAGATGTATGAAGGCAGCAGACCAAGAAGTGATTTAAAGATGAAAATGTACCAGTGAGAGAGTCTGTGTGAAGTTAATGATGTCCAGTTAACCAGTGAATACAGGGTGCAGTGGTGGGTACGATAATCACAGCCAGTTATGAATCTTAGTGCACCATGATAGACAGCATCCAACATCTGCAGGGTTCTTGTAGGAGCGTTCATGTAAATAATATCACCAAAATCAATTGAGGGAAGGAAAGTCACAGATACAAGGCGTTTTCTAGCATTCAGGGTTAGACAGGATCTGTTTCTGAAAAAGAAACCCAGTTTAATTTTCAGTTTCTTTACCAAGTTTTCCACATGGAGCTTAAAAGAAAGATGTGAGTCGACCAAGATACCCAAATATTTATAGGAATCAACAAACTCAATCGGGACACCATTTGAGGATAAAATCGGAGGAAGAACTGCTGGGACCAACTTCCTATTTGAAAAAAGCATCCCTTTGGTTTTTTCGGCATTTAGGACAAGTTTGAGGTGAAACAAATCAGTCTGGATGTAGTTAAATGCAGATTTCAGAAGCTGGAAAGCCTTAGCAACTGTTTTAGCTCGACAATAAACAACTGTGTCATCAGCATAGAAATGTATGGATGCATTAGGGATGTTTTTACCTACATTATGTATGTAGATTGTAAAGAGGGTGGGTCCTAAGACTGAGCCTTGTGGTACACCATTGTTGACTGTTAAATAACTGGAGGAAGTACCATTATGTTGAACACATTGCCTCCGGTCTGAAAGATAGTTAGAGAACCAACCAATGGTGTGATCTGAGAAACCGATTTCTGAGAGTTTATGACACAAGATGTTCTGATCCACAGTGTCAAAAGCTTTAGACAGGTCTAAGAAAAGTGCAGCACAATAATCCTTAGCATCCAGTGCTTCAACAACGTCATTAAGAACCTTCAGTGAAGCAGTGGTTGTGCTGTGTTGTTTCCTGAAACCAGATTGATGTGGAGGTAAGATGTTAAATGAGTCCAGGTAATTTTTGATTTGAGAGTTTATCAGTTTTTCTAGAACCTTGGCTAAAATGCAGAGTTTAGAGATTGGTCCATAGTTGTTCAGTGAGGTGGGGTCACCTCCCTTCAGCAAAGGAAGAACAAAGGCTGTTTTCCAAGCGTCTGGATGGAGTTTTGTTTTATGGAGAGATTGAAGATGTGGGTCACAGGGACTGTGATGATATGAGCAGCCAGCCTTAAGAAATAAGGTGGAAGTTCATCTGGACCTGCAGATTTTTTAGGATCAAGATCTTTTAACAGTTTATTGACCTCACTGACTGAGAACGGAGAAAAAGAGAAGGTGTGATTAACTGAGGATTGACTTGTAGGAGGGATTTGATTTGTAGAAGTTTGGTTATTAAGTGAAGTGGCTGATCTTCCATTAGTTACTGTGTCAAATAAAGAACCAGAAGCAACAAAATGTTTGTTGAGACAGTTCAGGATCTCGTGCTTATTTGACACAGGAGCAGAGTTAACGAGAAGTTGTGATGGGAGGTCAGATGATTGGGGGCTGCCTGAGAGAGATTTAATTGTTTTCCAGAATCTGTTAGGGTCATTTAGATTTTTGGAGGTCTGAGATAAGAAATAGTTTCGTTTTGCTGCTTTGACAGCAGTTGTACATTTATTCCTCATCTGTCGAAAACTCAACCAATCAGTGTCTGAGTCAGATTTTCTCGCTGTGGCCCAAAGATGATCTCTCCTGTGCAGGAGGTCAGCTAGCTCTGGAGTAAACCAGGGGCTGTCTCGTCCCTTTATTCTGAACTGACGAAAAGGAGCATGTATGTTCAGGAAATAAATGAAATTATTATGGAAATAGTTCCAAGCAGATCCTGGATATGTATGTATTTATTCATTTCATTTCATCCAAACAACAAATATAATACAATTTAAATAAAAGAAAAAAGATATACAATCACAGAAATAAAATGAAAGGCAGCAGAAGAAGAATGAATTCTTATAATATCTGCCCCTTGTCCCCAAAATATATTCCAAACAAAATTACTATACAAAAGCAAGATGAATTAATAAAAAAATAAAAAATAATAAAATAAAAACTTAGCTAAAATATAAGATCAACTGTAAACAATTTTTATGAACTCACATTATACTTAATATTTTTTAAAAAACACATTTTTATCATCTTCTTGAATATGTACAGTTTTGGCATTTTTAATATCAACCTCCAGATCATTCCACAATCTAATACCCTGAGATCTAGTGGATCACATCTTCAGACTGGTGCGACACCACGGCTTCACAAACATCTCCGTCCCCTTAAGATAATAATTACTTTCTCTTTTAACAAATGTCCCTTGAATGTTAGTAGGTAGTATGTTTTTGTTGGCCACATACATAAACAGTAAGATATTGTAATCAACCAAGTCATAAAATTTTAATATCTTTAGCTGATGAAACAATATATTTGACGGATGGTTATAATCTTTTCTGGTAATAATTCTTATGGCTCTTTTCTGTAAAATAAAAATTGGATTTGTAATTGTTTTACATGCTTTACCCCAGACTTCAATACAGTAAATTAAATGTGGAACAATAATGGCATTATACAATAGAAACATTGCTTTATCATTGAATAACTCTCTAACTTTGTACATTACTGCAATCGATTTAGCTATTTTAGTTCTTAAGTTTTTTACATGAGATCTCCATGTTAGTTTTTTATCAATGATGACACCCAGAAATTTCACCTCATTGACTCTATTAATTTCAATTCCATCGACTCTAAATGGAGTATCAAGCACTTTCTTGTTATTACTAAAAATCATATAATTTGTTTTATCAACATTTAAAGATAATTTGTTTAGTTGAAACCAATTTTGTATTTTCACAAATTCTGTTTGTGCCATCTTCAACATTTGCACAACATTTTCACCCACACAAAGAAAAGTAGTATCATCTGCAAACAAAATACATTAAAAAAAATCCAGACACATTTACCAGGTCATTCACATATAAAATAAATAGCTTAGGTCCAAGTATAGAGCCTTGAGGCACTCCACATGTAATATTACAGAATTCAGATTTTACATACTGTATATATACTGTATATACTGATATACTGTATATGCGTATATAGATGCATATATTCTGGCCTAGGCTATTTCACACACCCCAGGTACAGTTTGGCCCAGGTCACTATACTCTGGCCTGGGCCTAACTATATCCGGGTTTAATCCGGATACAGATTAATTTGGCCTGTAACACCAGAACATGTTTTTTGTGTGTTTTAGCAGTTTGTGTACACAAAAAAAACCCAATCATATTAGTTGACAATGAAAGTTTTTGTATCCTGGTCTCAGAGGCAAAGTTTTTGAAAACACTCAGCATTGCTGTGAAATCAATGCAGTCAATAGTTTATCTGTGCATGCACAAGAAGATGAGCAACAGTAACAATGTTTGTGCTGCTCACTCTTCAGTTTAGCATAGCTTCAAACTTGGAGCATACATGTGCTACACTATCTCTTGGGATCTCTTTTTACTCATTCCACAAATACTAAACATAAACTGTTTTTGAGTGTCTTAATGCATGTGCATGTCAATAAATTACCAAAAATAAATTAAAAATACAGTGCCAGCTAATAACCTGGCATGGAAACTGCAGTAGATTAACAATTTTTGCAGTCTTGTCTAAACAATTGCAATAAAAACATTACTGTGTGAACATGTACTGTTTTCTTTTTTTAATTTCTTTTTTCAGTTGCTCCCTTTCTTAGGGGTCTCCACAATGGACTAACTCACACAAAAACTTGGCAATTGTTTCTACACTGGATGCCCTTCCTGATGCTCAATCTCAAAGCAGTATGTTGGCTCCTTAGATACATAACGTTATTAACTGAGTTTTTATGTTCAGTGCCCTGAGACGACTTCTGTTGTGAAATGGCAGCTATATAAATAAACTGAATTGAAATGATGCAACCACATTGTTTCAGTATGTCATTCACATGTAAACAGGTAAGTCTTTAAAAATTTAACTGAATCGTAGACTTTTTTCTGTTTGCTAAAGTGAATCTGCTTGGGTAGCCATATTTGTTGACTCAAAAAGTCGATTAATTGTAAATATAAATCCATTGAATAATTTCTAAAAGTTTCAATAAATGTTCAGCTCTTATAGATACAAGAGAATATGTCTTTCATCCTATTCCACAAACTGGAATATTATCCCACATTTTAAATATTTTTCAAAAGTCAATGCTACTCGAAAGAGGCGTGGCTTATACAGTATCTCGTGAATGTGAAGAAAGCAGTGAAGATTGTCATCAAAAAAGCTCTGATTGATGTCAGTCAAACTGAGTGCATGTGGGATGAAGAATACTGTAGATCAGCGTTCCATCATTTTGCTACCTTCATCTTTGTCCACTGGAAGCTGTGGGTGCACCAGGCAATACCCCACATTATGCCACACTCTTTGTCTTACTTTTTGCAGGTATGGACCTGGTCAACCTATTATATCACGTACACATGTCTGAAAAGACAGCTGAAACGTTGGTAGGTTTAAACAATTCTTTTGACCTCTGAGTGCTTTTAGGCTCTAAAGGCCTAATTACACTTGAACATGATGTAGAACGCCGGACCCTGCTGATGTGACCATAGATGGTCGTTTTCTCCCAGACATTTCATACTCAAAAGAGAAGCACTGGGGAGAAATCCTGATGTGACAATCAGCCAGAATTAACACAGGCCGCACACGTTCAGGGTGAATGCTTATTTTCAGTTTATGATAGAGGAGTTGGAGGAAGAGCTGGTATTTCTGTTGTGAATTGGGGACAAGTGATATTTTGTACATTTGTCACAAAGACCACTATTGTTTCCAACAGGTGTTGCAGGAACGTACTCCTATGCTACGTGGCTGGGGAGCACACTCCTTCCCAGTCATATCACCACCATGGCTGCCTGGAGGTGACTCTCTCTCTCTCTCTGTCAGCACAATCGCAGAGAGCTGCCGGTTCTCTGTGTTGTCTCCTGCGTGCACCAAATTGTCCCATCTCCTTCCACAAGTTCTTTTACTATTACCTTTATTTATGTTTTATTGAATCTTTTTTATTATTATTATTATTTCTACTGAAACAGTTGTAATGTTGTCTGTATTTTCTAACAGCCTTGGACAGCAGCTCCTCAGTAAATGCTACTCTGAGATTCACTTACAGCAACCACTTTACATAAACACGCCCACGACTCTAACCAGTCACACAACGCTTGACCCATATCCTGGAAGAGACTAGTTCTGACTACAGGCAATGCACCAGACGGGTGACAGTGGGTGGTAAGAGTACTGGTAAGTAACATAGTTACCACTGGTAAGTAACATAGTTACCAGTGGTGATAACTATGCCATTTTTGTCTTGCACCCACATCAGTAAGACACAAGACCTGGACCTTCTCATTGATTATAAAAAGCCTTTACTGTCAAAACACACTCCATTTACCTGGTATACCAGGTGCACCGGGACTTCCTTTGATTCCCACACCATCCTCTCCCTTGTCTCCTTTGGCTCCCTTTCCCCCGGCTTCTCCTTCAGTCAGCAGAAAACATGGATATTAACATGAGGAAAATATGAAAACATAAACCATTTTAACAACTATAAGATTATAATCAGCTGACAATGGCTCCACTCAGCCTTGTTAAGTGAATTATTGATTAAATAATGTATGCAAGAGTAAACTCCTTCAATTCGCAGAATGCTTTGCTTAACATGTTTCATTCACTGATGGCTCTAAAAACCAACTCACAGTGGACAGACTTTATTTCTCTAATAGTTTCATTAATTATTTTCTTACTATCACTGGTCCGATGCAGAATTTTATCATGTAAAATATGTAGGAACAAAAATCTCCCACACTGACACACTGACACACACAAACACACACAGGTTTGTTTTGCTATCTTTATGGGGCCTTTGCATTGACTTCCATTCATTTTTCGTTCATTTCTATAGCCTAACCATGACCTTTATCCATAACCTAACCATTACCAGTACATACCTAACCCTAAACCTAACACATCCTCAATTCACACCTTAGTCCTAAACCTAGCCCCTAACCCACCAACGGGACTTCTTCTTATGGGGCCCGGGCTTTGGGCCCCATAAGGAGCAGTTGGTCCTCACAATGCAGAATAAGTTGGAAAAATGGGCCTCACAAAGTAGCATAAACAAGGACACACACACACACACACACTTGCACACAGTGTAGGGGTACCACTGCAGATAGTTTTAAAGGTTACAGGAACCAACCTTTCTCGCCTGGTGCACCTGGAAGTCCATAGAATCCTGGATGGCCTTTGGGGCCCATTGGCCCTGGAGTACCTGTTGGTCCTGCCACTCCAGCTGGCCCAGGTAGTCCAGGTGGTCCTGCTGGTCCAGGGGTACCTGGAGCACTAATGGCTGCTGGCCTCTTCAACATCTCTTTCATAAACTCTTGTAATTGCTCTACAGGTACAACAAATAAATAATCATAGATAATCATTTTATCCAACAAATGCTTCTTAAAATATTGTTTGATGACATTTTACACTTTACACATGCACTGACATTATTAAAACGGAGTACAAGTACTTACATTTGAGTATTAGCCTATATTAAGTACTATTTTTTGTTCATTTCATTTTACTAATAGATGTCATTATGCTCCTTATTTTGAACCTTTAATATTTTGAAAATCAAAGAAGTCTACTTTTTCTGATAACTCCTCAAACTCCAAGACAGTAGATTTTTCCAGCAGTGCCCTTTGGTGAGTGGTGAGATCATTGGGAAGCCCGTGCTTCGATCTGTATATTTCTGCTCACTGACAGACTGAAGCTGTTCTCTTTGCTGTTAGCAAACAATCTGAAGTCAACGTTATGTGTCTTTCATGTTTTATCAAACCATTTGTGTTGAAAGTGCTAGTTCTTATCCCTCCTCTTGACACCTTTGCAGAGTAGAATTTGCAGTCCGTTTTACTTTTGTCATCACAATCAATTTGAAACATCTCCACACGGCTGACATTGTTCTACCACTGAGACTGAACGTCACACCTTCATAAAGAGGCAGATACTGTGGTATTGGAACACTTTTATGAGTATTAGTACATACATGAGGCATTGAACAAATACCCAGTACTGCTGCTTGTATCTGTGCATCCCTACGTATGACAAATAAATCAACTGTAAGGACATCAAGGTCAGAAAGTGCACCTTCAACAACTGCTGAGCACATCTCCCGAAGCTTTTCATCACTCACTTTTGGGCCCTGCAAAATGAAGATCAAATCAAATTGTTTACATAACACATTTATGGATTTTAAACAACTGATATTCACCAAATTGCTGTACATAAAAACTATCATGTTACAACAGTTTAATAATGCAAACTAATAAAAAACATTACAAGATGCAAAAAATATTAAAAATTTAACAACAACAAAAAAAAAAAACTGTATTAAAAGCCAGTAAGTATAGATGTGTTTCAGGAAGACACTTGAAATCACAGAGCGTTCTAGCCTGTATAATATGAATGGGGAGCTGGTTCCACAATTTAAGGAGCGGCTGTGGCCGAGTGGTTAGAGCAGTCGTCCTCCAATGCAAGAGTTGAGGGTTCTAATCCACCAGCCATCACATGCCGAAGTGTCCCTGAGCAAGACACTGAACCCCTCATAGCCTCCGATGTGTGTCCCATCAGTGTATGAATGTGATCTAAAGCTCTGATTAGTCTCATTAGAATGATTTGTTCAATTATCTTTGTAGAGATTGTTGGATTTGATATCTTTTATATCTTTTTATATCTTTTGACAAGCCTTGACATTTCTCTGATGATGTGAAATGATGCATTTTCTACAAGGTGTGTGCGTGTCTGAATTCAAGGGTTTGAACTATATTTACAGGCCTGCATTAATTCTAAAGTGTTTACTATGTTTTATATATAATCTCATAAGTGCTAAGGATAATCATACAAGTTCACATTTGATATAATTCTGAGGGAAACAGAGACAGGTAAGACACTTGTTTGTGCAGCAGGAAACGATCCTTCTTTGTTCTCTGAGTAGAGCAGCTGAGAGTGAGGGCCCAGCAATGTGACACACTGCTCACACATTGATTAACATAAATAACGCTAAATCACAACATTCATATACTTTATACTTAACACAAGTTGAGTATTTATGCTCTCACATTAATAATAGTTCAGACACACAGGAATCGTATTTTAAAGCTTTATACAGACGAGAGCCAAATTACAAGCTAGAGAGTAAGTGCTCCTGCGTTCCAAAACAAAGCTCGTAAATTAACCCTTATCAGTAGAAGAATGAGCAAGGCTGTCTGCGGCCTTCGGAGTAACCATGGAGATAAGATCTGCTCCTGAGTGGCTGAACATGGTGTCACTCGGACCATCAAGAGGTTTTGACACCCAATCACAAGTCTGTCCGAACCCGAAAGGGCGGGACATGAGAAACCTATAAATCTCGCTCATACACAGAGTTTGGTGGAACAAACACGAGGCTGATTGACCAGGCAAGGTTCACTCTGATTTTGTTCCTCAGACTGCATTCTGATTACATGTAATATCTGCATACTTTAACTTTGTCTCAATTAAATCTTTAATACTAAGGTGAAATGATCCTGAAATTCTGTGCTCGTGTAGTGAACTTGACCTGATGTCAAATCAATGACCTTAGGATCATATGGTCAGAAACTGTCATTTCATTGATCTGCATCCAGAAATACAGTTTGACCCATCCTGAGACTTTCTTTCTTGAATTAATCAAGTGGAAAAGACAATTCTCTATGATCATTACTATTTTACAAATGTTTGATAATCAAATTGTGTTAGTTCAAACAATGTTTACATGTTGAAGTGAACTACTCATTTTTATTTACTTAAACAGTAGTAATGATTTTTATTCCTCATTCAAAGAAGAAATCAGGGTAATATGCATTTCTTGATTTTTCTGTCTTCAATGAGCAAATTTGTAAGTGTGTTAAAGTTCGAGCTTCGGTCAACTAAAAAGTTTACTGAAAAGAAATGTCATGTTTAACTTTCACAGCAGATACTAGGAGTAGAGACGCCACTAAGACTGGTTTTCTCCAACAATCTTTCTGTCTGTTCTTAAACAATCCTTGACTTTCCATAACACCTTACATCACAAACCACACCTCTGTTCTGGTCCATCCACGAATCAGAAAGCTCTCAAATGAACCGGAAGTATACCCCGTTTAAATGTGGCAACTTCCCAGTTCAACAGTAGAGTTGAAGATGAGAGAGTTTTGAGAGTTTTGAGAGTTTTGAAGAGTTCCGGAGTTCAGAGTTCTTGGAATCCAGAATGCAGAGCGTTTGGGACAACCTGGATGCAAAACGCAGGCATTCATGGTTGCAGCTGGGCCAGAGACGATTTTGGGAATTATAACTTCTGTTTGGATAACCTCGCACGACTCTCGAGGTATTTTAGCTGTTCTCAACGGAGACGCTGAAAGTGGCTGGAAGTAGGACTTCACGCCGACCTGATCTATCTTCAGAAAGGTAAAGTCGACCTTCACCCAAAAGTGTATCGTTTGGGACAAGCTGATTTCCAAAGAGCGTGCTGTTCTGGTTAAAACAGATAAATTCCCTCACACATCTCTCTGTAAGATAAATCTCAATTTTCCATCTTCAAACTCTCCTTTCTGCTAGAAATTAATCCAGATGTTTTCATTAATGTCTGTGGTGAAGCAACGGAAAACCATGGCCGTATGGTTTTCCTGATTGATTAATTATGCTGTTGTTATTTTCATATTTTGCCAAATTAATGTAAATGTTTGATGTTAAACTTTGATTCTGTAAATAAATGACCGCATTCATTTTGATGGGTCAAAGATAAATAACGTCTCTCGTTACATTTCTGTTAAATTCAATGCACGCATGTTACACAGTTCAGAAAAATGAAGAACCCGTTTAATGTATGAATATATCTCAGCATCTGTTCATACTACATCTGGTGGCCCGTAACGTGCTCATAAATGACTGTGTATTCATGTAAAGATTGATTTTACGTGTTGGCATGAAGAAAAATAACAGTTTGTCAGCTGTGCTGGAACGCAGCTGAAGCTGCGCCGCTTGGAGCTTGGCTCTGCATGTTTCCGCTGTGTTGAGCTAGTGATGTTATGGAGCTGAAATTGTGAGTCATATGTCTTTTAAAGCTGAAATTGTACGCCTGTTATGTGTAACTAAAGCTGGCTTTGAGCTGTGGAAACGCTGTATTCTGTTTAAACTGGTCCAAACGGACAGAGGTTCGGTTCTGGTACCGGCTCGGTTCTGAAAAAGTTCGAACGAGTTGTTTAAATAGCTAGAAAGACGTTTTTGAGACCGGAGCGCCGACTCCGTGCAGCTGGGAGCTTATCGTTACGTCTTTTAACAGAAAAAAGTGCATTTTGACAGGTTAAAAGACAAAAAGTTGACAGACTTGTTCAGATAAATCTAACATGCTAGCTGGGGAAAACGCTGCGTGATTGGTTGGATTCAGTTGAATTAGCTGCCGTGGAATGCTCTCATTGGATGAGGGACGTGTCAGTCAGTGACCCGGAAATGAAAACTCGTTTTCATAGGGAATAAAATCTGCTTTTTAAAGTTCAAAAACACTTTAAAAGCTGTATTCTGATCAGCTGCTAAGTTCTTCGAAGTCTAATTGTTGAAATTTCGCCGCGTTTGAGTTTAAAATCCGTCATTAAATGATGTTTTTGAACAACGCTAGCGATGCTAATTTTAAGCTAACAGCTAACGACCGGATGAGTGACGTGTCACGTCACTTCCTCCATGTCGGAAATGAGCTCGGTTGCAACCGGAGCCTTCACTGTGCTTAAAATCACTAAATAAAGCTGCCATATGTCCCAGAAAACTCATGTTTCATGCAAAGAAGTCGTGCTTGTTGAAAGAACGCCACTTTTACGCTTCAATACCGTTCAGAAATGTTGATTTTAACCGAGTTTAGCCGAAGCTAACTTTAAGCTAAGCGGCTAAAAACAGGATGTCAACCGAACGTCACAGGAAGTCGTCATAGACTCCTGCTGGTAGAAAGCTAAACACTGCCCCCTCCTGGGAAACTTGAGATCACAGTTTCACTTCAGTTTTAGGTATTTTAGTAAAATTAAACGTTTTTTTTTTTTTTTCTGTAAGGCATTTTTGAGCTAATAAACGTTCCTCGAGCTGATTTATACTGTTATGTTATCTTACCATTAAGTCAGTAAAGTATTTACGCCCAGAGAGGCGTTTACTAGGATATTTTTCATTCACTGATAAATCCTCAAGCAGGTGCAAAATGAAAAAATGAGAACTTTTGGTAGACACAGTAACAGATAATCACAGAGTTGATCAGTTACTCATTTGCTTGAAAGATAATACACGTTTAATTGCAAAATCACTAGATAAGAGTAAACTTATCAGGAAAAAGAAACTTTTCTGTTTAAGTTGCCACCTAAAAAATACATCTTCCTATTTAATTTTAAATAGAAGATTTGCAGGAGGACAGGAGTAATAACAGTTTTTCTGAAGAAAGACTGATTAATCCTGACACATCATCAACTTTTCTTTTTCTTTTCACCACTTGGTTCTATGAGTAACAGTTAAAATAGCAAATTTCTGGAACAGAACGGTTTAAAAAGTGTCTTTAAACTGATTTGCTGTGAGACTTTTTAGAAAATTGCAGGTTTATTAAAAATTCAGTGCTTTAGAGTAAAATACACTAAAAGAGCTTGGTAATCTAGTATCTGTTAAGAAATAAGCACATAAAAAGTAACACTGCCAGAGAGCATTTACTTAAATATTCATGAATTGGGGTAAAACCTACAGACAGGTACTCACATTTGAATACGTTGACTTATAACAGTACTTTTGTGTAAACCCAAAGCTAAAATAGTGTGAAAACTCAATGACAACTTGAATACAAATATTTACCTGTAAAATATCTGAAGCTTGCAACTGTTTTAAACAGATAAAGTGCTACACAGTGAATGAACATGACAGGTGTGTTAGAAAAAGACTTTGATCCTTATGGGATGAGGGACTGCTTGGAGAATGTGTTGAAGCTGCTGACAGAACCCTTACATCCATATAGACAAAAACAGGCAGACAGCATGAACCCAAAAGAGTTAGTGGACAATCTGAAGGAGGTTGCAGAGAGTGTGACCTCTACAAAAATTTCAATGTCAAACTATGAAAAGCTGGCTAAAATTGCAATTTTGCTGAAAGAATCATTCTATGCAGTTGTTGAGAAAGCTGATTACCTTGCAATAAGGTTAGACAGTGAAAAAGAGGTGGTTCAGAAAATTGAAGAACACTTCCTTCAATTTAAAAGTGAACACGAAGTCCTCACAAAAAAACATTCTGAACAGATGTTTCAATCACAGCAAAATGCAAATGCAGAAATTGATTCGCTGAATAGTAAAATAGATGTGCTTAACAAAGATCTGGAAGAACTCAGAATGGATAAACACACATTACTGGAGCTATGTATGCGTTTAAAAAGTGATTATCATACATCACAGGAACGCTTAAAAGCATGTGAGGAGAAGCTAAGAGCAGCAACAAATAAAAGTTCTGACGAGGGGCGAGGTGGTCTGGAATCCAAACCAGACCCTGAACAGCGTCGGGATAATATACCAGAACCTCAAAAAATCTTTTACAGACCTGGTGCTTTTAGACTCATCCATCCACCCTCACCTAAAGTGGTAGGAACAGACCTGAACAGGTCCCCTCCACAAAACATGCAACAGAGTGCATGGAAACTTCCTCTTTCAATGGATGTTCTGCTAAAACTCTCAAAATATGTACAACGCTTTGTACTTGGACCGATGGGTTCAACTGGAACAAAAGCGTACCTGAAAGATCTCGAATTCAGATTGAAGGATTATCCTAATGCTACGGTTGAGGATAAGATCAGTCTGATACGGCTCACTTCGGACAGAGAGGTATTCACCTTCATCGAGCGTCTACCTGATGCAACGAGAAAGGATTACAACCTTCTGTGTGAAGCTTTGATCAGAGAGTACGACCCCTGCACGGGACCTGCTGGTTTCCCAGCCGCTGACAAGGTCAAGCAGGGAAAGAATGAACATCCAAAGATTTATTACAAAAGAATCTTCCAAGCTTATTTTGGTTACAGAAATTAAACCGGAATGGAGGAAGAAGAAAATTTTAAATATGTTTTCAGCAAAAATCTCCACACTGACATACGCATGTCAGTACAAATTATGGCAAATTTCAGAGAAAAATCCATAAATGAGATTAAACAGTGTGCTGTGAATGTGTTCGAGGTACGTTCTCATGCTAAGACGCCCATAGAGGTGTTTCCTGGTATAAAGGTTAAACCCAACTCCCTAGAATTGGAAGGAAGGCGTTCGTCGCCACCTCCTCCTAAAACAGGCGAGAAAAGGCAGTATTTTCAAACTAAAAAACCACGTAATGAAGGTGCACGCTGGGACAAAAAGGCTCCTCTTTCAGAGGATGGACGTGATCATCGTAAATGGGACATGCGTAGGACGCAAAGATATGGTATCCAAGAGGACCCATATTATCAGGGGAAATCCGAAGAGGAACCCCCAAAAGACGTACCTAGCCGCCTCCCACCTCGGACGAAACATCCCGAGGCGAAAAAATCACAAAGGTTCCAGAAAAAAGGCCCTAAACCTCTGAGCTCGGAAGAGACAGAGGAAATACAAAGGTTTTTAGACACTTTGATACACGCTGAAATGGGAACCCGACCAGGAGCACTATGTAGTGATGCGATCGCTACTAACTCTGAAGGCGCGAATGACAACATTACAGATGTCGGTGAAACACACCAAGACATTGCTGTTATTGCCTCCAAGAACCCCTCGTCGGACGAAGGGGGGGTAAACTCACACACGAACGATGACGAGTCATCGCAAACTGAAAACTCAGAAACTGATTTTCATGATTTTGAACTAGGCATTCCAGTTCTGGGAGGACTCCCAGATAACCTGGTACCGAGTCAAGAAGCTGGGCCAGTATGTTTCACGAAACCATCACAGGCCATTGCTCTTTTCTCAACCAATGACGTCGACCAAGGACCACAAACCTATGGTGTCTTACCCATAGACAGGTCCGACGACTCAGAAAAAGATTCGTTGGAGCTCCGCAAGGAGCGAGAACCCTTAACAGTCTCATCACAGATTGAACAGGTGGTCGCCCAAGCCGACGCTCTGACATCTGATGAAGAAAGAGACAAACTTCGCCAAGTTCTTCTAAAATATGAAAAGTCATTTTCAACTGACCCAGAAATCACCCAACTTCAGAAGTTGGATGATCCTGCAATTAAATCGATGATACTGTATCTGACTGACCCAGACAAATACACCCCATCGAAAGGTAAACTGGATTCCAATCCAGACCTAAAAGTCCTCTTTCAGCTGCGCAAACAGTTAAAACTACTCAAAGACAACCTAACTTTAGCTCATGGAGCGACGTCCTCACCCGTGTTCGCGGTCTCCCATGACCGAAGGGGGGTGACGCCAGTTAGGATAATGCTACCAGACGCGATAACGTGAGCAAATCTGACATTCAGAGTGAGTGGCGCACCGAAACGTCGTTTCCTAGTTGCTTAATCACTGCTTTTGTCAATGTTGAAACGTTGTTAACTGGTTGCTTAGTCACTGTTTTTGTCGATGTTGAGACATCGTTTAATTGGTTTTTGGTATTGTTTTCGAACACCCCAGGCAAGAATGAATTTTGTTGTGTAGTTAAGTTAGAGACTAAGAGGCCTTTAACCATGCCAACATGCAGTTCATTCATTAAATTGCAATCTTTGCGGAGTCAATGTATATTATTGCTACCTTAAGTACCATAATCTACATTGATCTCACGACGCTTAAGCCGAACCTACTCGAACAATTCTATTCGGGGGGGATAGCTAATTCTTTTTGATAAGTCTCACCATAGACTTCCAAAACATTTATGGGAAACCAAACACCCAATCTCAAGTCGTTCGTCTAAAAGACAACAGACAATTGCACCAAACAATATTTTACCATGTAAAGCTAACTTAAACCAAGTTAGAAATGGAAGTTGTAAAAAAACAAGATCTTAATGAACTCATAAATCATGGGATGAGAAAAGAGGCTACTTCTGCCCTCTATTAAACCACTTAGTGTGTCCATTTACAGTGTAGCTCTAAAGGCTAGTAGTGACCTGCTTAAGTGGATGTAGTCATTAGTGACGGAAGTGTGACGGAGGTATGACTTACAGGTAACCCTCTGGGGCCTGGTGGTCCAGCAAGACCTGGTTCTCCTTCCAATCCACGAGCTCCCATGGGACCCGTTGCACCTTCATGTCCAGGTTGACCAGGTCTGCCATCAGCTCCTGTAGCTCCTCTGTTTCCCTTTTCTCCCCGCTGGCAGTGACAGTAAAAATCAGTAGTTGAGGCTTTACTAGTTGCTCCTTTCAACTGTCAGGACTTCTTGTCCTTGTGGTACTTTTTACTTCACAGTATGTGCCAACTTTGTGTTGGATGAGTTAATTTGGTAAAATGTTAAAGTATTTTACATTATTTTGTGTGGATACAAAACACAAAACAGAAATGTTTGAATACCTCTCCTTTGATTCCAGGCACTCCGGGAGGACCCTAAAACACACACAAACAGAAATGGTCTTTCACATCCACAGACAGTTGGTTATCCATACACATTTTTTACAGTGATGGGAGCAAAAAAAATAAAAATCTACCATCTTTCAAATCTAGGGTTGTAAGAATCAGGACAATAAAATATTGATGTTTTCAAATCTAACCTTTTATACCCTATGTGTAAGTATACAACAACATGCAGAGGATTTCCTGCATGTCACTATCATTGTCAGTTTGTTGCTCTGTAGAATTCAGGTGTGTGTTGACAATCGATGCCAAGAAGGAACGTCATCAGCAATGACCTTATAGATGCAACTTTTGCTGTTCGTGTCATGATCAGCAGCCCCCGCTGGCCCCCCATCTGCTCACTTCCCTGCCCCTTCATGACATGCCATGTTTTCTGCCCCTCTCCTTCATGTTTTGTTTATCCCTCAGCTCCTGTCAGTTAACAGTTCACCACACCCCCTCAGCCTATCACAGCAATCAGCTCTGATTCCACTCACCTGTTCAGCTCATCTTGTTCACCTGCTCTGCACCCTTTAGAAACTCCATTCTCCCTCTCCACTGGTGCTGAATTATTATACCTTCCATAGTCCCGGATTCTGAAGCCTTTAATCATAGTATCCTGTTTCATGCCTTGCATCCTTGCCTTGAGCCCTCGCCTGTTTTTGGACTCCTTGTCTTGCCTGTTCCTCTTGGATTTGTTTGCCTCTCTGGCCACGATAACGCACCCTGTTTCCTCTACTAGACCACGCTTCATGGATTACGTTTTTGGATTTTGTATCTGGACCTCTGCCTTCCTGTTCATGACCCCTGCTTTGACAACTGGACCCCGTTATTGGATTTGCCCCTCAAACCACGTTATTGCAGCTGCTCTGCACAGGACCAGTGACATCATCGCTGCAGTCTTGACAGGGGACTCTCACTCTCCATCTGCCTGTGAAGACCTGTTAACACTTCTGATCCTGACTCCAGCAACCAGCAGCAAAAATCAATAAAGCTGTTCATGTTTTTGTACTCCTGTGTCTGGCTTGTATATTAAGAATCCAAAAACTCTGGTTTGTGACAGCTCATCAATTTATAGAGTAAACGGTGGTTGTCTAAATTATTTTAAGCCCACCTTTCTACAGAGACAAAAGTCTTTCATACATGGAAAACATTTAGGACAGCCATCAATTTTCACAGGAGTGGACGTCCCAGTAAATTCACCCCAAGATCAGACTGTGCAATGCTCAGAGAAAGAACAAAAATACTTGAGAGCTGCTTTTCTGATTGTACAGGACTTTTTTTTAACAGGTTAAAGGCTACAACTAATGTCAGGACAATTAGAAAAACACTAAATGCGTGTGGTTTGTTTGAAATGGTTGTAGGAGAAAATCTCTTTTTAAACCAACATGGCAGAAGGACTTAGGTTTGTAAAGTGTCATCTGAATGAATCACAAGACTTTGGATGAAGGACCAAAGCAGAGATGTGTACCCATGCTGCACAGCAGCATGTCTGGCAAAAACCTAACGCAGAAAATCAGCCCAAACAATTCATACCAACTGCCAAGGACAGTGGTGGAGGGCTTGTGATATGGGTTTGTTTTGCAATAAGAGGGCCTAGACTTCTTTCAGTCATTGAGCGGACCATGAACTCCTATGTAAACCAAAGGCTACTAGAGACAAATATGAGGACATCTGTCCAACAGCCGAAGCTTGGACCAAACTGGGTCTAATGATCCCAAACACAGCAGCTAATCTACAACAAAACAGCACAATTAGTTTTACACACAACTTTTCCATTTTGTTTGCTGTGTGGATTTTTTTACACTTTAGGTTAGATTTGAAAGCTCTTAGAGCATAGCAAACACAACATCATTTTATTATGTCTCGAAACATAGAAAGAAAAAGTGCTCCTTTTTATTTCCATGACTCTTATCTTTATATTTGCGAGTCAGTACATGTTGTTGAATACCTGATCTCCTTTGACTCCAGAGTCTCCTGCCAGACCTGGGTCCCCCTGTATAAGAACAGGGACATGGTGAGTGCGTGACTAAACTAAAGGTGTGAGGTCAGTCATATGGAGTCTTACCTGACTGCCTTTAGGTCCTGCTGGTCCAATGTGTCCCTAAATGTCATGTGGAAATGATTGTTCATTTGCTGATGTTTTTCTTTTTTTATTTTGAAAATTATTTCAGTTTAATGTCAGAAATGTTGCTTTAGTCTCACCTGATCACCTTTCTGCCCAGTATGGCCCTTCATTCCTTTGGCTCCAGTGCTACCTTTATCACCTTTGACACCCTTTAAACACAAGTATCATGAAAACATTACTGGATAACTATTTCACATGAAATTACTCTGATGTTACAGGTCTCTCTTGTAAATGAGTGTTTGTGGCTCAATGAGACTAACCTGCATAAATAATTGTTGAATGAATGAATTCAAATTGTGCAAAGAGGTAGCTGAAATAATTGTGCTAGATTTTTTTCAACACTTATAACTAATGTGAGCATTGTAACACAGAATCACTTTCCTATTTAGGTGCTATGTTTTGTGCCATGTTAATTGATTACAAATTAAACTAAAAGTATTTCCTGATCAGCAGTAGCCTCTTCTACATCTCACAGACATAAATGGTAAATGTACTGTACTTACAGTATATAGTCCCTTTCTATCTTATCAAGATATTCAAAACTCTTTACAACACAATCTGTGCCTCATTCATCCATTCATACAGCTCTCTACTAGATCTGTACAAAGACTAATTAGAGCTTTATCACATTCATACACCGATGGGACACACATCACACAAGGTTCAGTGTCTTGCCCAGGGACACTTAGGCATGTGACTGCTGGGGGAATCAAACCCCAAATTCTTGCATTGGAGGACAACTGCTCTAACCACTCAGCCACAGCTGCACCACAAGAGATGAAGTTAATAAAAGAATAGTCTTGTATTTTTTTAAATAATAGTTATTTTCAGCCATGACATCAGTCAGAGAGCAAGAAGGAAGAAAAATTGGGCAAATCTTTATCCATACTAGACTAATAGCTAGCAAAATAAATATAAAATAAAATATAGCAACATTTTTCTTTCATTTATTCTTTTCAATTTTTATGCTTTCTTTTACAGTTGTCTACTGTTGTCATCTGTGTTCTTTATTTAAAACAGGTCTCTCTTGTAAATGAGTCCCTGAGGCTCAGTGAGACTAACCTGTAGAAATAAAGGTTGAATGAAGGAAAAAAAACAAGAGACTGTTCTACTGGTAGTTCTGGTTCGGCTGAGAAGACTGCAGCAAACCAAACAAATTATGTCATGCATTGGTGTAAAGATTTAGTATTGGTCCATTTATGATTTCACACTATAAAGTTTTTTGAAAACACATTTTAAAACATTAACAAAGATAACATAAAACTGGGCCTGTATTTAGCTAGCCATTAGCCTAGCCAAAACTTGTGTCTTTTCTCCATACTTCATTCTCTGTGACTACTGTCATTACTAAAAATGTTCTATCTATCCATTTATTATCTTTACCCGCTTCTTCCTTTTCAAGTTGCTGGGGGACATGTCCAGCAGTGAATGTGTGAGAGGTGGGGCACACAGGGACACACAAGACAAACAACTATTCACACCTAGGAACAATTTAGAGTTACCAATTAGCCTAACATTTAACATTTTTTGGTATGAGGGAGAAAACCAGAATACCTGGAGAAAACCCACACATACTTGGAGAAAACATGCAAATTCGACCTAGAAATGTCCCAGCCAGGATTCAATCCAGCAATCTTCTTGCTGAGAGGTGAGGGCTCTACCAACTGTGCCACTGTGCTGCCCTTTATTCATAGAGCATCATTTCAACATTGACAGCCAAGGTCAGTTTTAATATCCTTTTAAACTTGGTAATAAAAATCTATTCTACGTTGAACTTTAGCCACATCACTTGTGTCCTACAATGATGACTCAGCACAGACACTTTTGATCACTTGTTTGGGTTTATTCATCGTGACATTGAGAGAACTGTTCCACGAAGGGTCCAAAGAGGAAACTTCATTCTTACCTGCAGACCTGGTGGACCTGTTGGCCCCGCTGGCCCTTGTTTTCCTGTATCACCCTGCATTTTGAAATTAGCATGTTACTCACAGTTTTAAAATCCATTAAACAATATCTGTTAACTTAAAATGTGTATAAAACTGCATAGGCATGACTTATTGAAACCAACAGAAAAACAGGATATTACAGGTGACAAGTGAAAGGCAAACCCACAGTGGCCCCTTGTTCTCCAGGTTTTCCATCAACTCCATCTTTTCCAGGCTCCCCCTTTATGAATAGAAAAGAGTAGATGGGCTTGTTTAAAATAACAGTTAATGAGGCTAACGTTATGATTGTGTGAGGAAAGGTGTCTCACAGTTTTCCCAGGAAGTCCAACTGGCCCAGTGGGTCCCTCAGTGCCAGTCTCACCCTAAATACACAACATAAACTGTATTATATTTACAATTGTTTCTATCTTTATAAACTCAAACTTCAAAGCTGGACACTGGAAAAAGCTGTAGGGTTAACATTTATGACAAAAGGACATGCTTTATTACATGGGAGAGCAATTCAATTACCTTTTCTCCAGGGGGTCCCACTACTCCCTGCTTTCCTGGAAGTCCCTAGGAACAACATGTCAAATTTAAAAACAAATTAAACATTACCTTTTTTTATTTTATTTATTTATTATCAAAAATGAGAACCGACACATGGAAAACAGTAATGGAGTTGAGTCACAACATTTTGTTCAAAACTTGAAAGTGAAAGAAATTCAGGAATTTCAGCCTGAAAAAGTTATGGTTTGGTTGGGCAACTGCTAACTTGGACTTAGGATATTGTTGAGTAATGGAAGACATACTTTGAGGACCTCTTCACCCCATCCACTATGTCCATCATTTAGGAAGCAGAGTGAAAATTGAGGGAAAGCAAGTCCATTACCTTGGCAAGGGTTACTATAGTAGTCAAAAAGATGTTTAACAATATGGCACCAGGAGGGAACGAGATCCACCCAGAGACACTAAAGACTTTGGGCACTGTGGTGTTTTTGTGGTTAATAAGTGAAGAACCAGGACAATGCCTGTGGAGTCACAGACCAGGTTGGTTTCCACAACTGTTTTATAAGGGGAGCAGGAGAAGAGGTTCCAATTATCAAATGATCACACAGGTCAGCTTCCTGGGGAAAATTGATTCCAGGGTGTGAAAGGAAGTGTTACGTTTGTGAGCTGGGAGATCAAAACCATAGGTCCAGTCCAAAAATATCGTAACAGAAGGTTCCACTTAATTGTTGGAATCAGGAGGATGAGTGAGGCTTTCATCCAGGTTAGGAAAAATGGAGTATATTTTTATCCTTGCAGAGCTCCTAAAAGGATCATGTGAGTTTGATTGTTCAATCCAGATTTTTGGGGTGTAGTCATGGATTATGATGTGCCTGAGTCACCTTTAAGGGCTATCTGGTACTTGCTTAATCAAAGCAAGAGTTATATCTGTATTCTTATTACAAATTCAAATCTGTTTTTAAGGCAGTACTTTGCCAGGGATGACCTTTGTATTTGACCATGTTCATGACCAGAATCTCAAGGCTTAGCTGTTTGCTTTGTGGATGATGCTATTCTGTTAGATGTTGGTCTTCAAGCCATGAGCTTTGCTGGGGTGGTTAACCTGTTATAGAGACCAGTGTACTAAGAGCTTTTCTCTTTCAGTGAAGCTCTCAGCATGCTGGTCTACATATGTTTCAGCTCTTATCAAAGTTCATGAGGTTAGATCACAACAGAAAGAAAGAGATCCTGGGTACAAGCAACTGAAATGTGCTTTTTCCATGCGGTGGCCAAGGATAGTGTGAGTAGCTTTGTCCTTCAGGAAAGCTTGGGGTAGACGCTGCTCTACAAAAAATAGTCAGCTTTGGCCTATAGGTGGTTGGAGCCTCAACAATGCTGAAAAAAGGCAACATTTCAATTGCAATCTCATACAAATTTCAAGTGTTTGTGATCAAAATTGAAACATGTTTAAAGGAGCAGGTTTTGAATAGCCAGATGACCCTGTGAATATTTTGAAAGGTGGCTGTTTGGTTGGTTGTTTGGGAGGTTGTTTGGTGATTGAAAGGGTGGATGGACAGATGGATGGACGGATGGACGGATGAATGGATGGATGGATGGATGGATGAATGGATGGATGGACGGATGGACGGATGGACGGACGGACAGATGGACGGATGGCTGGATGGATGGATGGATGGATGGACGGATGGACAGATGGACGGATGGATGGATGAATTGATGGATGGATGGATGAATGGATGGATGGATGATGGATCATGGATGGATGAATGGATGTGTAGTGGACTAGGCCTACGTCGGAACTAAGTCTAAGGTCAAAACTCTTGACCTTTAGAACCTTGTGGGACAGGAACTGTCATTTCATGTATTTGAATACATAGATACAGGTTCACCCATCCTGAGACTTTCTTTCTTGAAGATTCAAGTGAAAAGAACACTCTCTTTTTATTATCATTACTATCTTACAAATGTTGATAATCAAAGTGTCTTAGTTCAAACCATTTTAGATGTTGCAGTGAACTAATCAATTTTATTAACTGAGTAATGATTTTTATTCTCATGTTAAAAGCTGTTGCAGAGTAATTATGCATTTTTCTGATTTCTGCTTTTGAATGAGCAAGTGTGTGCGTTTACAAGGTTACAGTCAAACGAAAAACAAGTTGTTATGTTAAAACTGTCATGTTTTAGAATCCTCTCAGACGTAAATAGAGATGTTTTGCACCTGTTTCTTAGACACGCCTAAACAGAACCCTCTCGGTCTGTGAGAACATTTCTGTGCTGTCTCATAACAATTCTCGCTGTCTCTAACCTCTTACGTCACAAAAACACACCCCTTCTGGTCGTTTCTGACCAATGAAAAATCCCAAAAAGTGAACCGGGAAAGAGTCTTTAAAATGTCAGTACTTCCTGGTCTACACAGACTCTCAGGTACACAGAGTGACTTACGACTCACGGAGTTACAGAGTTCACGGAGTTGGAGAGTTGTCGGAGTTCTAAGAGTTCTGATGGAGTGCTGTTGGAGTTCCTGACATGACAACAAAGCTCTTCCGAGTTCCATGGGATTATAACATTTTCCACTGAGGTGAATGTGTGTCGAACAGAGCCTCGCCACTACTTCTGACGGGCTACAGCCATTCGAAGGAGACGCTGGACCGGTAGCGTTAACGGAACACCATATCTGCTGATTATCATCAGAAAGGTAATGGGTCAAGTTTCCTACCAAGCGTACCGAGGCGAGCTGGGCTTCTGATGGAGAGTGTCGGTTCTGGCGAACATTCCTCCCCTCCCATTCAATCTTAACTCCCTCTAAACTTCTTCCCATCTTTAAACTTTTCTATCAAGTAGAAATTCTTCCAGATATTTAGAAATGTCTGTGTAAAGTGCTTATTCACATCCGTGTGGGTAAAAGATCATAGTTGTACAGTTTTATAAATGTCTGTGGTGCAGCAACGGAAAAATCATGGCCGTATGATTTTTCCTGATTGATTGCTTTGTTGTTATTTTCATAATTTGCCAAATTAATGTACATGTTTGATGTTAAATTTGATTCTGTAAATAAATGACCGCATTCATTTTGATGGGTCAAATTTAAATGACGTCTCACGTTTGCATTTCCTTAAATTCAATGCACGTTTTATTCAGTCCAGAAAAATGAGGAATCCGCGTTAAATGATGAATATACAACAGCATCTGTTCATCTACAGATGGATGGATGAATGGATGAATGGATGAATGGATGGATGGATGGATGGACGGATGGACAGATGGACGGATGGATGGATGAATTGATGGATGGATGGATGGATGGATGGATGAATGGATGAATGGATGGATGGATGGATGGATGGACGGATGGACAGATGGACGGATGGATGGATGAATTGATGGATGGATGGATGGATGGATGGATGAATGATGGATGATGGATGATGGATGATGGATGGATGAATGGATGGATGAATGGATGAATGGATGAATGGATGGATGGATGGATGGATGGATGGAGTTTATCTCCTTTTCACTTGTTTTGCATGAAAGATTAACTGATGAAAGTCATTATTAGAACATGATACAACTGAGATGAAGATTGTAATGGTGAAAGAAAATTAAGTTGGACTTACTGGAATCCCAACCATCCCTCTGATACCAACACCTCCTGGTGCACCTGGTTCTCCCTGTGGAGGAAATTCATATTGTCTGCAAGTATTTTATTGACGTTTAGACAGACACATTATGAGCATCATATCAACGTATTTATTCTATCAATTATGAACAATAAGATCAACCTTGTTATCACACCTTTACATTTGTACTGATCACAGCATGCATTTGGAGCGCTCACTGGCCTGCTAACACGATGTGGAACGAAGGTAGCAAGGCAGACTAAGTACATGTGTATGATGGGGGGCGGGCAGGTGGAACAGTGAGTCTACAACGAGCAGAGGTCACAAATGTGCATGACTTTCTGTATTTAGGATCAACAGGCAGAAATAAAGATGTTGAGGTTGTTTTTAGGAGTGATAAGGATGGATAAGATTAGGAATGAGATCATCAGAGGTACAGCACATGTTGAACAACTGGGAGATAAAGTTAGAGAGGACACACTGAGATGGTAGTTGAGTTCTGTCTAATATTGTCATTAGTGACAGCTAATTGTTAGTTAAAGCTCCTATTACCATAATGTATGCCTTTTTCTATCATTCATCAAATTTTGGCGTACTGAAGGTGACATTACTCAAAAAAAGAGTTTAAAATAGTCTGTTTGTATTTGAATGATTACCTTTTCACCATCAGCTCCAGGAAGTCCATCTGCGCCGTCTTTGCCAGGTTCTCCCTGTGAAGCCATATCACACAATTAGAAAAGCACATGCTGAGAACAAAAGAGTTCTAAAAAATAATGACTGTGCTCTAATACTTACAGAATCACCTTTCTCACCAGGAACACCTTGCAATCCTTGAGGTCCCACAGCTCCCTAATTAACATAAAGCAAATATGTAAATGTAAATAGTTTAGCTACATAATGAAGACTAATCAAACGTTTAGGACTTACATCGTCCCCCTTAGACCCTGGCAAACCCAGGCGACCACGAATTCCCTCCACACCCTGAGACAGAGAAATCTATCAGTTCCTGATCATTTTTGTGGAGGAGTGAAAGCTACATGAGGTAGAAACCCAAAGAGATCTGACTGCTTACAGGAGCTCCAGGTGGGCCGGTGGGACCAGGAGCCCCATTGTAACCAGGTGGACCCTGCAAACATGGAGGGAGTCAGAATTTGCCTCCAAATCCAGTAAAAATCAATCAGTGGAAAACTTACTCGGTCTCCTTTCTCTCCAGGGGTTCCTGGAAATCCAATTGGACCTCTTTGTCCCTACAGTACAGATGTTTTGGTTGTATTTATATATATATATATATATATATATATATATATTTAGAATTTTAAGACAAAAATGTTTCAACATTTATATTGTGAGCAGTAGTTTCCTACATCATCACCGATGTGCCCCGGTGCTCCCTGAGAGCCTGGTTCTCCAGCGTCTCCCTGGTTAAAGCAAAATACATTTTAAAATGCTTTACTGAACTTAAAAACAGATTAATTTGATTTCAATTGCTCTTTAGACTTAATTAAAGACTAAACATTAAACATTTTTCGCAATAGTTTATTAGAAAAGATCATTGGAGCATGGTTCAAATGATACATACCTTGTCTCCAGGTTTTCCGTCTTTTCCGGGCTCACCTGGAACTCCCATATGACCCTGAAGGTTAATATGAGGAAAACATCTGTATTAATTGAATTTTTTTATTTTTTATTGTTAAGACAAAATCTTTTGGATCAGAATTCTCCCCAACATGAAATTTGGACTAAAATAAGTTATTATTAAAGCCTTAATTCATGAGCCTGTTTATGCTTGTCAAATAAACAATTAAAATTAATGAATTTTTCTTGTTGATATTACGAACAGTATAAAACAGAGTCCAACAACAAAAAAATATCTGCATTCACTAGTTCACATTCTAGAAGATGTCAATCCAAATGTTAAATGTATGCATTATGGTCACAACGATTTAATGTTTTTGACATAAAAAATACCTTTGTTGTTTTCACAAATTTTAGAAAGCTTATTTTATTTTATTTTTTACAGAGAAGTCACTTTAGTCTGGAAACACTAATGCTAACACTAACACATGTTTTTCACGTGTTAAAAGCATACTTTTGAGATTCCAACAGGAGGTTGTCTTGAAACACAGCAGTGAAGGCTACCTATGGGACAGATCTGGTTGGCAGGTTGCAGACTGAAGAAGTCCTCTGGATGAGGGGCAAAACATTTCTCACTTAAAGAAACTGGTCCAGATGACATGATTTAACCTTTTTGTTACTAATGCTTTTCCTTACACTGTTTTACCTAGTTTATATTTTACAGATCTGAAAAATATTAAAATCAAATTTCAAACTTTTCCACATTTATCAGCAAAGGACTCCTGAAAGTTTTTCACAACATAGTTTCCTCTGATTAATTTGGGTAGCTGAGTTAAATTTATATGTTGGTGGCCATCTTGGATTTCAGCAAGGTAAGTAAATGTTTGATAGTGACTTTTCATATGCTTAGATCCAGCCACACATCAAAATGGAAGTCAGCAAATTGCTTATTTTTCAAGTTATCCAGCTG